AAAATACTTTTAAAATATTTTTGGGTTTTTTTTTTTTTTTTTAGTGTAACGGCTCTTCGCGTGATGTCACAGTTTGTTTTACTCTATTAACGACTTACGACTTGCCGTCTTAATTAATCCTTACATAAACTACAAACACCAGCCACTGTTACAACTGTTCAAGACTACTCTCTCAACTAGCTCAGACCGAATATACTAAATAGGTGAAATGTAAGTCACCACGGACCTGAATCGCTCTCCCGGAGTACTGGTGAAGAAACTCTACAAATACCCACATAAATACATTAAGACGAGGATAAATAATCAGTGATACAAAAATGTCTCGCTTAAAATAATAAATACATATCATTTAGTCCGATGCGATCCTTACGTTCCGGAAGAATCCATAAATTAACTTCTCTGAAATAAGCTTACGCGCGGGTGAGTTCCCACCGCTCACGACTGGTCTAAAACACCTCAGCATGACGCGCTGCTAACACTACGGCATCTCTAAGACTTACCTTCAAGTACACCAAGCTTATCAGTCCCTCGGTTGGCAGTATATTGCACTGTCATGCTTAGCACAGCTCTAAGAGAAGGGGTCCTGCTCACGGACCTACTCGGGGCTGCGGAAGAAGGAAGGGAGCTGCTAGGGGAGACAAATCCACTAACACTGTTGGCACTCGAGAGCAAAGTAACACTGTCCCGTCAGAAAAGTGAGGTAATGGAGAGAGGAGCGGGCCCCGCCGGCCGCCGCCCCGCTACAGATGCGTGAGCTTGGGTGCCTCCTGCATCCGTCCCTGAGAGGTGTGGTGGGAGGAGAGGTCCGTGTAGGTGGGGTGGGGGTCGCAAGGTCCGTGGTGGTGGCCGCCGGGGATCTGGGCGGCGCAGCTGTAGTCCACGCTGGCGGAGGAGGGGTGCTGCAGGTGCCCCAGGTTGAACATGGGGCCCGAGGCCGGCATCGAGTCCACGAAGTTGCCCCCCACGTAGACGGGGCTGCCCTGCAGGCTGGGGGTGGCGAAGCCGCCCCGGCGGCGCCCTGGGGTCGTACTCCGCGCCCGCGTAGCGCTTCTGCTGCGGCAGGCAGCTGCTCAGCGGCGCCGTGTAGGCGGCCAGCCCGTACATGCTCTGCTGGGATTTGGCGAAGGAGGTGGGCGAGGGCGCGTCGTAGCTGAGGCTGTTGACGCTGGGGAGCTGGCTGGAGTAGCCGACGTGGTTTGGGCCGCTCAGGGGGGGGCTGCGGTCCGGGGACTGTCCGACGGGGGAGTGCATGATGCCTTTGGCTTTCTGGTCCTTTTTGTACTTCATCCGCCGGTTCTGGAACCAGATCTTGATCTGCCGCTCGGTCAGGTTGAGCAGGTTGGCCATCTCCACCCGGCGCGGCCGGCACAGGTAGCGGTTGAAGTGGAACTCCTTCTCCAGCTCCACCAGCTGCGCGCTGGTGTAGGCTGTGCGCACCCGCTTGGAGGCCGGCCCGGGGGGGCTCTTGTCCTCGCAGCTCTCTCCTGCGGGGAAGAGGCACAGAGAGCCGTTGGTCCCCCC